TAGTTGTTGCATTTTGTTTTTGTTGCTTTTCTTGCTGTTGCTGTTGTTGTTGTTGTTATTGTGGTTAACGCCTTCCGGCGTCGATTTGCTTTTTGCGGTTAATTTCGCCTTCGATGTGTGTATGTGTGTGGGTTTTCCTCAGTGCTATACTGTTTTAGTTGTCCATAATGCTGCGAGAGAGAAAAGAAATTGCAAAGCAAAAGAAAAGTCGATTAGCTGAGTTTTCTTGCAGTGGAGCTATTTGTATGGGTTTTTCATAGATATCACATGGCTGGAGAAACATAAATTATGTTGTCTTTTATATATAGATTTTGTTTTAAATTTAGCTCAATTTGAATTTTTTGAATAAGAAATTTGTCGCTCATTCATATTCAGTTTAAGTGAGTTGTGGAAAATTTTAAATAAAACGTTTCTCTATTTTTATGATACATATTAACTAGTTGATAAGAAAAATAAATTGTTATTATTTTAATAATTTTTTAATATTTTATATACTTTATTTTATATGTTCATTTTATTTTTTATTTAATACATTTTTTTAATCTTTAAAACATTATTTTGGTATCATATTAAATTTGTTTATAATTGAAATATACTATTATATAGATATTCGTTTATAATTCCAATAAACCAAATAAACATATTTTTTATATTTTTAAGTATTTATATATTTTTTATTTATTTTATTTATTTTTTTTTTTTTTTTCAAATATATTTCTTTACAGCTTTTATTATATGTAATATATAAATATTTGTATAAATTTCTCAATATATAAATATTTATATTTTAACAAAAATTTTACGATAACTTTTATTTAGAATTTTTGTATTTCTTTTTAAAATATTTTTATTTCTCTAGCACTTTTTCTAAATTTTTCTTTTGCCGCACTCAACTTACCTTTTCGAATTTATATGGCGCACAGCAACAATTTTTGTTAAAGTCTGCAGTTGTTTTGTTTTTCGTTTGAATATTTGTAAATTATATAAAAACAAAATAAAATTTCTTTCTTGTTTTTTGTTTTTGTTGAAATTGTGTTGACCAATTTGTTGTTGAGTTTCACTTGAACTGAACTTAAAATTTCACATGCAGCTAATAAAATGTATTTTATTTAGCCAATTCATAACTTTTGTATATTTCGTATTTTATTTTTGAAAATAAAAATGATGTTTCGTTTTGGTTTTGATGTGTGTGTATTTCAATTTTGTATTTTATTTGTGTGTGGTTTTTGAAAATCGTGCGCGATAATCCAGTGGCTCGCTTTGCTGCACGCTTCAAGTTGTTGTCACACGGTTTACGTTCTTTTAAGTCGTGGCAAACTGTTGGCCAGAATGTGAGACACAGTCGGTGCTGGGTGCTAGTGGACAACCGAACACGACGAGGCAACGAACTACACTGATTTAGCTGAGCAGGCAGCGCATTGACGATACCTCGGTCCGAGTGTTTTCCGCTACGGCTACGCCAGCTGCAGGCGAGGCGTAAATAATCCACGACGCGGCCTTGCAACGAGAGCCGCCCGAACGACAGGCGTAGAGTGAGAGAGGGAGAGTGAACGCGAGAGCGCGAGAGAGTAAGCATACCAAGTGGTGAGTGCTCAGATAAACCAGCTGCCGAGACAGAGAGACTGAGAGAGCGAGAGAGCGTCAGACCGAGAGCAAAACAGGTTTTCAAGCAAAACTCACTCAAAGCCAATTCACTCACAATTTATCTGAGGCCAGAACTCCGAGAGGCTCGGCCGACTCCGGAGTCCGGACTCTGTTGCAGCTGCAGCACGACGCACAGTTGAGGCCTGGCCGCCCATCAACATCAACACACACGAAATGCTTCGAGTCTTGTGGCCAGAATGATTTGACGTACTTTAGACTTTTACCTTAGCCAGATGAAATATTGCGGCCAAGTCGGGCACTCGACACTTGGCATAATTAAGCCGAAGAAAATCAACTTGGGCACTGTCAAATGTCAAGTGGACATCAATTGCTCTGGTTTACTCAAATCCAACACTTAAGGCGAAAACGTTGCTCTTGAAACTGATATGGTCGTACCTCACGGATGCGTATCCCATAAAGGACACTCATTACACTCCCGCTGCAGTGGAAAACAACGTCGTCGAGCTGGTAAAGTGTTGCGGCGGTAGAAACCTTTTCTTTCCACACCACACAAATGCAACTCAACACATGCCCCAAAAACCACGCAGCGAATTGTTATTTATAGTGTCATTTGATACTTGGGACATGCTTGTCTATTGCTCTCAGCACAGCATTGCGATGCATTTTTGAGTTATGGCCCCGAGCACAGATAGCTCTGTGTATATACATATATAACGAAATATGCAGACTGTTCAACTATTTACAAACACACACACACGCACGCACAACAACTGTGACAACAAGAAAATCAACTATAAATGGCCATAACTTTGTGCCAACATGCTGAACGAGTTAGAAGCGCTGGGGGTTTTTCGGGGTTCTGGTGGCATTTGCCGGTTGCATAACTTGCATATTTTTACCATCTCAAAATTCTCGTAAAAGTATGCAAAATACTATTTGCCTATATCTACACATATGAAAATCTGTACGGCTTATTTTCAGAGACAGAGACAGAGAGTGCGAGAGAGAGGAAGATAGAGTGTGTGCACTCTTGCATATTGACAACTGTTTGTAGTAAATCAACATTTGGCAGGCACTGTAACCCATAATTATTTTCATTTTCCATATACGAATTTTGTTGTTGATTTGCATCTGACAGCAATGTCAGCTCTCTGAGTGCAAACAGTCGAAAAAATACAGTAAATCGGCAATAAATGCAATAAATATGCCAAAAAGCAACTAAAAGCTGCAAATAAAACTACAATCTCTTTATGGAATATTATGGAATATTGCGAAATTATTCATGCAATAAAAAACGTAAATCTATGTTCTGTAAATCGGTTGGATTATTTCATCAGACAGCCAAAAAAATAAAACGAAAAAAGAAAAATATTGTACTTATTTAACAAGAACTAAAGTAGTTTCTGTCATTAAAAGGGAGTGAGGGAAGGGAAGGGGTAAATATTGATATGAATGAAATATGTTTCAAAATAAACATATTTGAGTTGTTAACTTGAATAACACAAATATAGCATGAAAAAGTTCTTTCCCAGAGCGAGTTTATGCGGAAGTGAAAGAAAATTAAATGAATTTAAATAATTTAAGAGATAAATATAAAATATTCAGAATGAAAACTTTTATATAAAATATGAAAACAAATAAAATAAAATAAACAAAAATATGTACATTTTTTGTAAATATTATAAATGTAAAATTTCCATGTTTCTGTTTTATTTATATTTGCTACTCATAATATATATTTAAAAAAAAAATGTTAAAAATAAATAACAGATTGTAAATGTAAAATGTCAATTAAGATTTAAAATGTGAACATTTTAATTCAGTTTGACAGCTGGAATAGCTACAATATGAGATAATTATTTATAATTTTTAGAAAGTTTCTGATTTCCAAATATCGAAATAGTGTGCCGCAACAGATTGGTAAAAAGGCTTGCAGCAATTATGTTTTGATGGCGACAGCAGGTTGCCTCTTGCCTTTGCCTCATGCCACTTGCCACATGGGCGGCCATAACTAATTATAGAAAAGAAACTTCATATACTAAACCAACTCTTCCAGCTGTACTTGATCTACATCTAAGGCCAGAAATAGTTGCAGCAGGTGTACAAAAGTTTATGTTCTGCTTCTTTTTTTTCGACTCTCACGTTACACTTAATAGCAGCTGAGGCAACGCCACTCTGAAGGGGCCTCTCAATTTGCGACGATGTGTGAGAATTGCTTGGCAATAAATTTTATCAACATTTGACGGCATTCAGGTGAGCAGGCAACGGCAGAGGTAATCACATCTAAACAATAACTGGAAATATGTTTGTTTACGCTGCGCATATGAAAATTGTTTAGTCGAATGCTAAAAAGCACTTAAACAATTAGACAGATTTGGGGAGCGATGTGTAATTAGGTAAAACACTGCAACTACCGTTGCATTCGACAAAGCATAAATGCAAATAATGCATGGCAAAGCCAGCCAAGCCAAGCCAAGCCAAGCCAAGCCGGCTAAAACTGACTAAAAATACAGTCAGCAAACAACAGCGACGCACTTTGGGCAAACAAAAAAGAAAAAGCGAAGGGCGAGGTAACTTATGGGAACGCTTAGAGTACCAGCCATCCAACCGAAACCAGAGTTGAGCAGGGTGAGCTGTGCTAGCAGATGCCCTGCATAAAAGCCAGAAATTGTATTACAGAAGGAAGTCAGGATGAGACGCATAATAATAGCTAACAAAATAAAATTAATTTATTTTAGTATCCAAAAATATATATACACATATATGAATTTATTAGAGAAAAATTAATATATAATAAAAATAAAAATTTATTTATTATTAAATAAAATAAATAATATTAATAAATAAAATTTATAAAAAAAATAAAATTTATAAATTATATTTATATACTTAAAAATAAAAAATATAATTAAAAAAATATATACATATTTAAAGTTTATACGAAATATATTTTATTTTAATTTTAGTCTAGTAAATTCATATATACATATGTACATATTTAAAATGTGTGTGTAATATTTTTAAGAATATAATATTTTCTTTGTATATATTATAATTATATACTTTCAAGTTTGATAAACTATCTTTATATATAACATTATTGTTGAGCTATCGAGATTTTTCGAATAGCTTTAAATTATTAAACGATTGAATTTACTTAGTGATTAGTTTATTAGCGATTATTAGAGTTTACAGAGTTTATGTGATAGACGCGAGCAAGCGACTAGTCTGTCGTGCTGTCCGCTACTATGTTTGTAATAGTCAATCTAACACTGCATCTGCTCTAAACAAGAGTTAATTGCATACTAATTACAATGTACGCGAGCCGGCGGATTAAGCTGAGCCGGTGCGTGGGTGAAAGAGACAACGCAAAAGGGAGAGCGTGATCTCCGTTACAAATTCTCTTACATGATAACATATTCTATGAACTGCCGCTCTTAATTACAATGAAGCGATGATTGCTGAGCCCAACATCCTCCCCCCGTTGAAGACTTAGTCTTCAACAGAATCCCTAAGGGGCAGCAAGCACAGCTTATTTGTAGCTCTTCTTATCTCGCCAGCTTCTGTTTTTAGTAGGGCTACCCGTGCAACGCCATCACTTCCAGGGATAAGTTCGATTATTCTGGCTAGTGGCCACTTAAGTGAAGGTAGATTCTCATCCTTCACAAGAACTATGTTGCCAACAGCCAAGCCAGGTTTAGAGGTTCTCCATTTCGCTCGCTGTTGTAACAAGTTGAGATATTCGTCCCGCCAACGAGTCCAGAACACCTGCTGGAGATAGCTTACGCGCTGCCAAGCATCCAAACGATTAAAATTGAGCCCGGTTAGGTTTGGCTCACTGAAAGACGAAGGAGGGCCACCGTTGAGGAAATGCGCAGGAGTCAACACGTCTATGTCTGATGGGTGCTCTGAAATCGAAACTAAAGGGCGTGAATTAACGACAGCAGCGATGTTGCAAACCAGTGTGCGAAGCTCATCGTAAGTTAGGACGGAGGACCCAACACATCGGTAAAAATGATGCTTCGCTGTCTTCACTGCAGCCTCCCACAAGCCACCAAAGTGAGGTGATCGTGGAGGGATGAAATGCCATTCGATTGAGTCTGCCAAACAGAAATCCTTCACAGCCTTCTGGTGGGTGTCTGACAGAAATAGACGCTTCAACTCCTGAAGCTGATTGCGGGCACCAAGAAAGTTTGTGGCGTTATCCGACCAGATTTGACTTGGCTTTCCTCTGGTGCATATGAAACGTTGAAGTGCATGCAAAAATGCCGCGGTAGTTAAATCCTTGACTAACTCCAACCAAATAGCCTTCGTAGCAAAACAAATAAACACACAAACGTAGCATTTCACAGGCGCCTTGTTTCGTGACTCAGGCTTGTAAAAGAAGGGTCCGCAAAAGTCGACTCCAGTCACTCCAAAGACCCGATAGCCGTCGACTCGATCCTTGGGTAGATCTGCCATTATGTGTTCAACGAGTCGGGGCCTTGCACGAAAGCAAATTACGCATCTCTGAATTACACTGGCTACAGTTTTTCTACCTCCAATTGGCCAATATTGGGAACGAACCAACGCTAGCACTGCTCGGGGACCAGCGTGCAAGTTTCGCTGATGGAAATGCATTATGATGGCTCTAGTTACTGGATGAACTTTGGGCAAAATAATTGGATGGCGACTATCGAAATTTAAAGTTGAGTTTTTGAGACGACCATCGACACGTAGCAGCCCAATCTCATCAAGGAACGGTGACAGCGAGGCTAGACTGCTGGATGACGGAACCATTCCTTTATTTCGAAGAGCATTTATGTCGTCTGAGAGATGTGTTCGTTGAATCATTCTTAACAGTATATGAGTGCCGTTCCGGATGTCTGCTAGGGTTATTCCTGGACCATGACTTTTTTTAATAAACTTTGATACGTATGCAAACGTACGCTGCAAGCGGCCGAAAGAATTCACAAACTTGCAGTCCATAGAGACATCATGGACTGCGTCCTTTACAAGAAGCACAGTTCTTCGACGCTCAATTGAAGTTCTTTCTGGAAGTGCTGAGACTGGCCACTGAGATCTGGGCTTACAGAGGAAACCTGGACCGTTGAACCAATGTAATGATGCATTTAAATCCGAGGGCAATGCACCCCGAGATAATATATCCGCGGGATTCAGTGTTGTAGGTATATAGTGCCATTCCATTGCTGATGTGAGATCTTGTATCGTGGCGATGCGATTTGAAACAAAAACGTTAAATCGTCCGGGCTCGTCATTGATCCAAGAAAGCGCAACAGTAGAGTCAGACCAACAATGAAACTCGCCTGCGAAAATGCCTAAGCGAGCCACTTCATTCATTAGACGCGCAAGCAACTCTGCCCCGCATAGTTCCAGCTTGGGAACCGTGAGCGTTTTTAGAGGCGCAACTCGAGACTTAGAGCAAAGCAACCTGCTGATGGTATGCTGACCTCTGGATACAATATAAATGCAAGCTCCGTATGCCTCGATGCTGGCATCGCAGAATCCATGGACCTCAACCTTCGATCCTGGTATTAATGATAGCCTGGGAAATGCACTACTAAGACCATTGCCAAAGTTGCTGCAAATGTCTAGCCATGCAGTGTGACATGCAGACGGGAGACTCTCATCCCAATCAAGTTTATGCCTCCAGAGTTGTTGCAAGAAGATTTTAGCTTTCGTTATTACTGGGCCGACCAGGCCGAGGGGATCATAAAACCTAGCAATAGACGAGAGAACAGAGCGCCTGGAGGGCTTAGAGGCTGAATTCAGGGCTAGATATGAGAAAAGAAGTTGATCAGATGCCGGATCCCATGCAAGGCCAAGTGTCTTTGTAATGTCGCTGCCATCATTGAACCTAATGAGCGATTCCTTGTCGCAGTCTGTTACGCCGTCCAGCACCATGGGATGGCTTGAACACCACTTCCTCAATTTAAACTTCCCACATGCCAAGATTCCAGCTGTCTCTTGCATAACAAGTCTTGCTTCTTCGACTGAATTTCCTCCACTAATCAAATCATCAACATAGAAATCGCGAAGCAGTACGTCGGACCCGACTGGGAATGCGTTCCTTTCATCTACGGCAAGCTGATGCATGGCGCGCACAGACAAAAATGACGCTGGTTTTGTTCCATATGTTACCGTATCAAGCCTGAAAACTTCCAACTCATCATCTGGCGAATTCCTCCATAAAATGCATTGTAGATAGCTGTCCGGCTCAGGTACTTTCACGCAACGATACATTTTGCAAATATCGCCGGTGAGTGCAACTGGATAAGATCGGAAGCGCAATAATATGTCGACTAATTTTGGCTGAATGACGGGACCTGACATTAGAATGTCATTCAACGAATGCCCAGTTGTTGTAGATGCAGATCCATCAAAGACGACGCGAAGCTTGGTAGTTGTGCTATCATCCTTCAGAACGCAGTGATGAGGAAGAAAATATCTGCATAGATGGAATGAATTTAGAGGAACGCGTGACATGTGACCAAGTTCAAGATACTCTTTCAGAAATGCTGAGTATTGAGACTTTATATGCGGCAAACGACTCAATTTCTTCTCCAAATTGAGAAACCGATGTCGCGCTTGCTCATAAGAATCTCCAAGAAGCTCGCAACTAAGCTTAACAGGCAGGCGTACTGTATATTGGCCACTAGCCAATCGATTGTAATGCCTCGCAAAATGCGCTTCGCAGTCTGAGTCTTCCTTGCTGAACCTTACAATGGAATCGCTGCAGCGCTCAACTTCCCAAAAGCGACGAACGAGACTGTCCAACTTGATATCAGCACAGGAGTCTGTAATCGGATCCAAAGGCGTCTTTGAAGCTATTAGCACGGAGTTGTGGTTGCGAGCCTCGCCACCTGATACAACCCAACCAAGACGAGTCTTCTGTAACAATGGAAGTCCAGGCATCAACTTGATTTGTCCCACACAGAGCAAATCATAAAACAGGCTAGCTCCGATAAGCAGATCTACTCGTTGCGGCCTATGGAAAGCTGGATCTGCCAGCACTATATTTTGCGGTATGCTCCAATTGCTCGTATTCACATTAGAACTGGGCTGCCTGCCAGTTATATTTGTAGCTACCATAGCCGTTATGCTAGTTGTATATTCAGATGCATGAGCTTGAAGAGTGAGGCAAATGCTGCTGCCATCCATGGCAACATTGGAGTCGCCTACGCCGCATACAGATGCCACCGATTTTGTTCTCTTAAGTTGCAGGAGATTCGCAAATCTGGCTGTAATGAGATGTAGTTGAGAGCCTGAATCTAAAAGCGCACGACAAGGAACAAGCTCGCCAAACCGATTCCTTGCCAGAACCACTGCGGTAGCCAGGAGCACAACATCGCTGTGCCGATCCTTGGATAAGAGAGTAGTGGCTGGTGCTGAGGGCTGAGGGATGGTCTGTACTCTTGATGTTGAAGATTGTTGATGGGGCGGAATTGCTGCCTGCGATGTGCTGGAGTGGCCGAGATGAAGAAGCGTATGATGCTTGACTCCACAGACCCGACAACTGCGCGAGCCACATTGTCGCGACTGATGACCTCCCTTGAGACAATTCAAACATAAGCCAGCCTTTCGGACCTCATTCAGGCGAAGACTAGGAGACAAGTTTGCGAATCTTGGGCATTTGTAGATTGTGTGCTCAAGATCATTACAAAAATTGCAACTGTGAGTACTGTGGCCGGTTACGAGAAATGCTGATCTACTGGTAGCAACCTTACTGCAAGAATTCATCGGCTTACTTGACGAATAGTTTGTAAGAGCAAATTTCATCGATTCCAAAGTACGGCAACGAAGCTCAAGAAATGAGGAGACTTCTTCATATCTGGGTATCTGAAGAGCCGTCTCTGAGTTGTCCAATTTCTCTTCCCATTTAGCTTGTGAGGCCTCATCAAGCTTCTGTAGCAGTATCTGAGCAATCATGGCACTGGCTATCTGCTCTGTTGTGCCCAGACTACTGAGCGCACGCATATGGACATTGAAGCTGTCAGATAGCTCACGCAGCTTGATTATGGATCCGTTTTCTACTCTTTTGAGACCTAAGATCTTTACGATGTGGGCCTGGAAGATTAAACGTCGGTTATCATATCTCTGCTTTAATAAATTTATGGCAATTGTATAATTATCATTAGAAATTTCCAAAGAGCGAACCGTATCCAACGCTGCGCCATCGAGGCAGGACCGGAGGTGCTGAAGTCTTTCCATATTGCTGATTTCTGGCCGACTTTCAATGATTGTAGAAAACATTGAGTAGAAATCAGCCCAATTAGCATATCCACCGCTGAACGTAGGTAGCTTTAATGGCGGCAACGCAGGTGCAGCCTGCAATCTGGGAGCGGATGCGCGAGGAGGGTCACTTGGACGGCTAAACGTGGAACTATGATGCACTTGAGCAGTACGACTTTGCACTTCGGACATTATTGTTGACTGCATGACCATTATTAAATCATCAAAGTCAGTGCGCAAATTGCTGGACATCTCAGTAAAGTCGAGCTCCTCTAGACTTTCATGGGCCTTGCTAAAGGAGTGGCTTAGCTTGTCGATATGCTCCAGTAGAACATTTAGAGTGCTGTCACTGTGATCGGCAAGAGCATCTGAATCGACCTTGGATTGTAGCTTTTTTACGCGTTCAAACACCGACTGTACCTTGAGCTTATAAAACCGCACGCGATCTTCGGGAGCAACTGCACTAGCATCTAAATTCGCCATGACGAGTACAGCAAGAGCAACACGATAGAGTTCAAAGTCGTTGGTGCGAGCGCGATTGCAAGAGTAAGTAAATGTATATATAGCGCAGACACAAACTTGGAATAAGTCGTATTTGTCGAGCAGAGTACTTGCAACTTTAATAAACTGGCAAAGAATTATATTATGGTACTCAAATAATATACACGTATGAATTGTTGCACACCGGTACGATTATTATGGACGCGCTCGTATCGCAGCCGTGGCGAAAAAGTGCAATGTCAACGAAGAATAACGGCAAGCATGTAATTACACTGTGCTTATGCAAACTTAATCACTTATAGATTGAAGCTATAGAACACGCAGTCACTAACCATAGACATAGTTCAGAAATTAGCTGATTCTTTATTAGATTGTCATTTGCAGAAGTTTTCGCATGTGTACTACTTTTACGGGCGCCAGTGTATTGCAGACCGAACGAAAGAGTGTCTGGCGAATTGGCAAAGTAACGGCACGCAACTAATCGCTATATACACTGCTTATATTCACGGGTGTATGTATGTATGTGATGCTGTCAATATATATATGCAAATATGTAGAAAGAAACGAAAATATCACGTCGGGGTCACCAAATGTTGAGCTATCGAGATTTTTCGAATAGCTTTAAATTATTAAACGATTGAATTTACTTAGTGATTAGTTTATTAGCGATTATTAGAGTTTACAGAGTTTATGTGATAGACGCGAGCAAGCGACTAGTCTGTCGTGCTGTCCGCTACTATGTTTGTAATAGTCAATCTAACACTGCATCTGCTCTAAACAAGAGTTAATTGCATACTAATTACAATGTACGCGAGCCGGCGGATTAAGCTGAGCCGGTGCGTGGGTGAAAGAGACAACGCAAAAGGGAGAGCGTGATCTCCGTTACAAATTCTCTTACATGATAACATATTCTATGAACTGCCGCTCTTAATTACAATGAAGCGATGATTGCTGAGCCCAACAATTATATTTAAATATTTTGATTTTAAAGAGATTTTTCGTACACAGTTTTTACTTTAATAACTGCTCAGTCAGTTATTTTTTAACAAAGCATATAACATATTTTTAAGCTATATAATATATTTTTAATCCTATACAAATCGACCTTCACTAACTAGTACATGAATTACTGAACGCATACAATACATTTCCACCCAGCTAATATACTCCTTTTCAGGTCTTCTCTATAGGGTATGTAACACAACGCAGCTGGCTGCGCATGCGCTGTGAGCCGTTGCCGTTGCCGTCGCTGTCGCATTTGCTTGTTGTTGCTTTATTAGAGCCGTTGTCTTAACAAGAAACTTGTTAGTTGCAACGGGTTAAGGCTAACAAATGGATATATATAAAAAGTACACAAAAAACAACAACAGCAATAGGAAGACATTGTTTGCCCGGCGCGACGTTGTCATTCGTCCGTCAGTCGGTTAACTACTTTGAACATACTTTTCAGCTGCCGACCGCCGATTGCCTATTGCCCATTGCCGACTTTTCCAGGCCCATTTGTCAGCATTTAGGCAAACATCTTTAGACAAGCCCAGTTCGAGTCCGATACCAGCTAAAGACAGTTCCGGTGCCCGTTTGGACCATGCTAAATGCGACTTCCGCAATCTCAGTGTTCCGCTTCCTTAGCGCGTATTGTCTTCGATCCAATAAAATATCAATTGACTCGCAATTAATCATATTCCAAATGTGCAAAGGCCAGTTAGTGAACAGAATAGTTGCCAACGCCTGGGCAACCGGAAAGAAGTCCCATTGTCCCATTGTTCTGGATTGTACTTGCTTTTGATTTTCCTACCTATTTTCGCTTCACACTTTTTTTTTGTCCCGCTCCGGTTTAAAGTCGCCTCCTGGTGCTACTCGTTTTTTTTTCTCTCTCCCTCTCAGGTTCTTTTAGAGAAATCACAATAAATAATGAATCAAAAAATGAGCGTTAAATGCAACGAGACGACCAGAAGGAAGGCTGACAACAACAACAACAACAACAACAGCAGCAGAAGCAGCAGCAATAGCAGAAAGCAACGGAAGTGAGTACACAATGGATCTCAAAGAACTGGGCACAATGGAGTCTCCGAGACTGCGTACTGCCTACCCCATGGCAAAGGTTAAGTTTAAATCGATGCCATGAAAAGTAAGTAAATGCCCAGACACACACACACATATATATATATATATATATATATATATATATATATATATATATTTATATATGTGCATACATCACACACATTTCTCAGTTTGATTGTTCAAAGGTAGAGCTAAGCATTTGCTGACTTGTATTATTTCTCTCTGGTTTCTTTTATTTTATTCTTTTTTGTCTGTCCATTCAAGCTCTGTGCTGTTTGCTGTGTTTGGAGCTTTGCTAATGCATCTCTGTGCTGGGAACTAAAAACGTCATCAAGTGTTTGGTATTTAAGAGATTTCAGCAGCTATTAAAGGTAATTCTACTTTCAGACTCTGTGCAATGTAAGCTGCTCATGCCTAAGACCCTGATATCAAAAGCAACCGAAATGTATGGGAATTGGAGTGTCATACTGTAAAGCCACAGCAAGAGCTGGAGAGTCGAATGACTTGAATAAGTAGAGCAAGCTAAATGCATATATGTAAGTATGAGACTAAATTGAAATTCAAAGTCAACCCTAAAACATATTTATTAGAAATTAAGTAACACCTTTTAGCAGGCATTTCTATTTATAGTTTGTAACTAAATCCAACACTTGAGCACCTAAACTCTGGCTTTCCCATGAACTCGGGTCTATTATAACAACTCTTTTCTCGTGCGAGTCTGTAATCGATACAAGTGAAACCCCAGTTTAATGGAAACTACTTAGCATATTCTAGCCTGGGCGATCTAGATACTTAACTCATCTTTGGCAGCTCGCAGCAAACACTTTCTTTATAGAATTCCGCCCATATCGAATCACACACGTCCTGCCCACACTTTTGATTTCCACGGAACTCTGACTCACAGCTCGAACAGAGAGAGATACTGACTCTTGAGCAGCTTGGCCTACACCTGATGTTTGAACCGATAATTTCAGTGTGAAATGGGAGAGACTCTCTCTCTCTCTCTCTCTTTCACTCTCCATCTCCATCTCCCTTGTAGAAACTTAGATTTCGAACGATTAGGCCGCACAACATGCGTTTTACCACATGGTAAAACTGGAAATTAAGTTCAAGTCTAGGTTAATTTCCAGTGAAATGGAAAACCCAGGCGCCACTTGAAAATGTTTTCCATCGAAACACATATAATTACCAAATCCAGACCTCCAGGTAGAGGTGGGGTCCCCAGACACAGAGAGAGGGAGAGAGAGAGAGAGAGACTGACCGAAAGCTGGAGAATGTCTTTGGGGCATATTAACATTGGATTCAATTAATAAATGACGTTAACGTGCTGTCAAAATATGAAATTGTTGATGATGCAGTGCCATGTGAGGCCGGCCAGCCAGCATGAGGCACGGCTACGGAAACAAAAACGAAAACGAAATACTTTGAATGTATCTGTGAGATACATTTACGCATCCACATCCACAGCAACAGCGACAGGGCCAGGGCCAGGGCGAGCACGCATAGTGCAAGACGATATCGTAGACTTCATAAATTATAATTTGCTCGAGCTTGGGTCATAAATAGCAGCAGCAGCAGCAGTCGCCTCAGCCTGCCTGGACACTTGACTACCGATTATAATCAATCTTAGAGATAGATTTGCCATATACCAGGCCACAGACAGGCAAATGATGGGCCTAAGCCGGAGAGCGATCACGCAACGCAATACCATCTGACTCTTCTATCTGGCCACGTTAGCTGTGAACACTTGGATGTTACATGTGTCCATGTCCAGAGATTCGCTGCCTGGCTACGCCATGAGGAATGATCCTCGATCGGCATGCAAAAAAGAAGAAGACGAAGAAGAGGAGGAATACTTTATGCAAACATGTGTCTCCGCATTGTCTGTGCCTGTGACGGCGACACGCATTTATCAGCCGGCATTTATCACGACGACGATGACGATGACCAAGACCAAGACTGGCATATCAAGTTGCAGTTGCAGTTGCCTGTTGCCTGTTGCCTGTTGCCCACCTCCTGCTGCCTGCTGCCTGACACATGATTTGTTTTTGCTCTGCTGTTCAGATAACTCAAACGCGATATGCGTATCTCATAGATTATATTTGCCGCATGTCACTTTATTTTTATTTTTGCTTGGCTATTTTTGGCTTGCAGCTAAAGTTGTGCCTGCTCGTCTGGCAGTCCCAATGCTCAATGCATAAACAAATCTTTGGCTTTTCCTGTTTCAGCCAAACACGTTCCGCTAAACCGGCGTCAGTTTTGCTGCCTGGCTCATTGTCCAAACAAATCTCATTGATAGTTGCGCATAAATTATGCGTGCGAAACTGAAATCAGCTAAGCAATTACAACAGAGCGGATATGGGGGGCATTCCAGGAGCAGTCAACGATATCCTATATAAATACGACACACACACACACACATGCACATCTGTTTGAGATTTGCATATCCGCCAAGAGCCATGCAGTTGATCAACTGGCAGTGATCACTGTGAGTAATAGAGAAAGAACTGGAAATTCATTAAGGAGAGATGGCTGAACAAATCTCACAAGATTAAGTACTGCTGCTTCAGCATATTGCGTATTTAAATTATTGATGTTTACATTGATATGAGTGGACAGTTAAATTGTATAAATAGCTAAGCTACATATGATTATAGAAATATATAAAATGAACATGTCTTCAAAAAAAAAAATTGTTTATCTTATCTTATTATCAAAGAGGCTTTTTCTATTGATATTACAATAATTATATGAACTTCAATTTTATTCTACAAAGAACATAAAAACAAGCCGTAATTTTCTTTGACTATACTTACATATATATCTAGATATATACTGTCTGAATCTTATATGAACTTCGTCAAAGATTAATGACAATAGTTTTAAATAAATGTTTGTTTGTATTAAAATTATTTTATAATTGATTAAAATATACTTTTATTAAAATTTAAACAAAAATTATTTTTTACTTTATCGTATTTGTCTGCTGTTGTAAAAATATTAAACAAGTTTAAAGGAAAACAAGCATGAGTATATAATTAAATAATTTTATTAAATTATGTATGTCATATATGACATATTAAGAATAATAATAAAATATAATTTAGCATATTCAATATACATATATTTCACAATAAATATTACAGTAAATTTAAAGACATTTCATATACAATCTATAATATCTCCACTACTCTAATACTCACCTTCCCTTTCCATTTCAAAATGAAATATGAGACTCTGCACTTCTGGCACTTCAATGAAGATCTCAAATTGGACTTAATTGACTTTAATCAAATCAACGACATAGACCACAGACTTAGGACCTTAAGACAAGTTGATGTTGGCTTTAAGCTGAACTCTGCTGCGCGCCAGATCATAATAGGTGTCAAGTGGCATTAGCTAAGTCAAGCGTAGTTCGCTCTGGCCAACGCGGCTAACCCGTTGCAAAAGAGCGACAGCAACGCAAGGTAGCGTAAAAAGAGGGCTGACTAAAACAGCAAAAGG